GTACTCTTTCCTGCCATGGCAGGGGGTCGGACTAGATGATCATCTCAGGTCCCTTCCGACCCTAGAAACTATGAAACTATAAGGAACTTTTTGCAGGAAGTTTTACATAATTTCCTCCTTTGTTTTGCAATTTCCAAGAGGACAATAGAAGAGAAGAAGAACCCTGGTTGCAGCCTGGTCTCAGAATTGCCCTGCTTGCCTTTGTTGTACAACTGTTTGTCTATCTGTACATCAGCATTTCGTAAATGCCTGTTCCTCTGTGCAAGGCAACTTTATACTCAAAGTCCTTGCAATTTTCTTCCAGGGTGATGTTACACTGGGACACACAGGGAGGAGAGACAATTAGGCCATTGGCACTTGTATTCGGAGAAGAACACAGGAACTTTGAGCTGCTAAACAAAATCTGGGTTCTTTACTGCCTCATTCATTTTATTGATGCCTTTTAAATGCCTGGGTAAATATACAGATTAGGAGGTACCTGGCATTAAGTAACACACCAGGGTTCAAGTAACCACTCACAAGAGCATGTGCAGGCAGTGAGAAGATCAGCAGACAAGGTCTGGTGTGGGCAGTGGGAACATTTTGAGTTGACTGTGGGCCACAACAAGGTCTGAAGTGGACATTAGGGGATGGGTCAGCAGGATGTGTTTAGAGTGCAGTGGGATAGGAGCAGGGCTGGGAGTGGATGAGTGAGTTACAGGCAGAGTTGGGAGCCTCACGTACTAGCAGAGGGGGTTTCTTTCCTGCGTGACAGGGTAAAGGCCAGTGTGTCTTCCCTAACATCGGCCATCCTCCCTTGCCCTGCAGCAGCTGTGGCTTGTGGTCACTGTGAATTAGCATAAGTACTCTCTGCTTCATCAGTGGGTCTAAGTGCTGCTACCATCCTGTCTAGGCTGGAACGACTGAACCAATGGGATGTTCTTAAGGGGAGCTCATTCTGCCTTATGTAATTCTGGATCATCACAGTCCTGTTGCCCTTAGATCACCTCTTGTATAAATCTCACACCAACCTTTCCTTAGGAAGATGGGGTACATCACCCTCCAGCAAGTGACACTACTACTCCTCCCTGTGATCAGAGGGGGTTGCTAGAGTGTGAGGAGTAGGGCTTACTCCCCACCCTAGACCAAGAGCCTCCATTTCTCATGGCACAAGGGCAAGGCTGTTTGAGACCCCTCTTGGCTGGAAGTACAGTCTCCACCCTTCTGCTGGGCTGGTCCATGCTGCCCCTCAACTCATAATTTCTTCCTGCTCCTCATCTGGCTGGTGAATCTTCTGTTCCCACCAGCTTTAGAGCCAATGTCAACAACGAGAGCAAATATGGAGCTTCCGCCTCTGAGCAGTGGCAGAGCCACTATTGCTGGGAGGGGCAGGGCTGAAGGAAGGGCAGTGGTGGGTTGGGAGAGGAATCTCCCAGATGATGAGGTTGACAGAGTGTCTCTCTCTGGGAGTTTGCTGCAGGCAAATGTGCGTCACTTTAGCTACGTTCTCCTGCCATGGGAGGAGTAGAATGGCCTCTGGGAGCAAACAAACATTCTAGCACCATTCATGACACTCCCCTCCCTCTTCCAGGGAGTCCAGGTGTCTCTTCCCTGGCTTTCTCTCTGCCTAGCCCCGCTTCATTCTGTTTGTCAGATGGCACCAGTCTGTCTATTGAGCCTGAAGTCCCTTGTCCCAGCAGCAGTATCCAGGTCATTTATAGTTGCATGATGCAGATCTTTGACTCTTCCCATTCCTGGAAATATGCTCCTCTCCGCAAAGGCCTTGACTGCAGATGCCTCTGCTAGGAAAACTCTCCCTGGTGACATGGCTCTGAAAAGTCTTAGTTTGAGCTGCTCGTGTTCCCACTTAAATCAAAAGTGGGACCATCCAGTTGCATTCATGATTTGAATTGGTGGATTTAATGGTGATTGAAATCAGCAAGCAGGAAGCCTTGATTTAAATAGGCCATTTTTGAAAAATAAAATTATTTTGAAAAGATATTAAATGGTCAATTTTTTACTTGGGATTTGCGTCAATCTGCATTTGGATTGAAATTGGAATTCAGTTAAAATTCAGAAAAATCCCAATTTTGTATTGTTTTATTAAATAAAACTACCTTCTGTGGGGCCACATAAATGGCTATTATGTAACTAAGTAAAATAAGTTATCCAAATATATCTTGTGTTAAGAACTAAATAGTTCATTTGGAAGGCCATTTTATTTTTAGTTACTGAATTAAACTAGTTTTGGTCACCAGATTTTAAAACTAGTAGGTCTCATCATCTACAGCTCATTTTTATTTGTAGCTTAAAAGAGGAAAACAAAATGTTCCTGCTTTTTTATTTCTTATTTCTCTCTCAATTTTGAATGACTTAGTCATTGAACTTAAGTGGTTCAATAAACTGAAAGAAAAACATATTTTCTGATCCACAGAAGAGGCTGCTGCAGTCAAAAGCTGAAATACAAACTTGATTTCCAGGTGCTTACCTCTTGACTTTTATTGATTCCGTGATCTGACTTTCTTTAAAGCATGCACTGATCAACATTATTTATATTTAATTTAAATGATTATAATAGATTACAATATGCTTAAGTTTTAGTATCGCTT